TCAGCTCCTACCAGCAACGGTAAGCGGCGGCGGGGAGGGGGTGCGCGGCTCCTCGCGAGGCTCCCCCGCTTGCTTTTTCTTTGTGCTTTTGTGTTTCTTTGTTTTCCTTTTTTTTTTCCCCTTGCTGTTTGATTGTTTGGGGGGTGGCTGGAGGGGAGGCTTTCCCCCCTTTTCTTTTTTCTTTTCTTTCTTTTTTTTTTTAATACAGCATCTTTTAAAATGCACTGAGAAGTAAACACAATCTCCCTGCTTTTCTCTTGGATGAGCTGGAAAGAAACAATAGCCAAAAAAAAAAAAAAAAAAGTGAGACCCCGGCAGCTCAGCTTGGCCGCTGCAAAGTTTGGGATCCCGTCCGCTCATCCTTTCTAAAAAGGAATTTCTCAATGTCAATGCCTTGTGCAAATCCCAGTGTGTGGCAGCCAGGGGGATAATTGATCATGGTATGCTGATTGATAATTTGCTTTCAACCAAGAAAGAGAATAATTTTCACTTGGGGTTGCACACTTGCAATTCCACATTGTAGTTTAACAGTATTATCATGTCACCTGTTACTACAGGGAAATATAGCTGGAAAGCCTAAGTATGCTCAGCACTGTTATTTTTGCATCTTAAATGCATTCTAATGCAAATGTAGGAAATTCACAGGCAGCGCCTTTAGGAAGCAAACCGTAGAAAGTTGGCAGTAAGTCATAATGAAGTTTAAAGACCTTCCTCATCCCCCCCTAACAATTCATCGATACGTGCTGATACTAACCTGACGCTTAATTACCTGGCATTTCTTTGTGCTTCTACGATGCAAAAGCCTGAAGTTTCAATCTCTTAGTTTTTCTCTTTGATAACCGAAGCCGAGCTCTCAAAAAAGTAACTGACAACAGACAAATGTAGGCTGAAATCCGAACAAAACGTTTACATTTCTCTAAAAGCAATAAAAATGGCACTGTCCAAATATCCTGCTACCCAATATCGCATTAAATCCTGAGGAAAAAAATATAATAATCAATATTCAAACTAAATATCTCTCTAGCGTAAAAGAAAAATCACAGGAAGTTTTAACGTAATATTTCAAACTTAATTGTTACAGGAGCCAGTTTTAGATAATCGATCATTGCCTGTTTTGTTGTTCAGCAACTTTGAGTTGCTTCCTCTAGTTTTGGAAAACATATCATTGTATTTTTTCCATTTGATGTCCAGGATAGCAAATGTTTGGTGTTAACTTTTGGAGGTTTTATTTAATGAAAAAAAAATAATAGAGCACTCAGACTCCTGAAATAATCCCTGATGATGCCTAAGCACTTTCTTAGATAAGGAACACTTAGAACTGAACACAGGTCTTATTTTAATCAAGTAGACACACCGACCTTTCTTATATATATATATATGTATGTATATATATATGTATATATATGCATATGTGTGTATATATATATATAAAGAATGTGAGAGCTATAAAGGATGGATTAAAGTAGATTTTTTTCATGGCTTCTGTATGATTTTTGTCACTTATAAAATATTTAAATTACAATGGAAGCTGACGGACACTTTAACGAGGAAGTACAGGCAGCAGTCACAATAGTTTAGTCTGTGAAGTGGGGAAGTCAAGGGTCAGAAATGTCAGATTGGCTTTTAGACAAATGAAAGAGACCTCTGGAGACTTTAAGTTAAACAGAAATATATAGACAAGGCAGCATGCGATTTTTTTAGGACTTCGCATTTAATAGTTTGATTCTGTCAGCCTGTAATGAGGAAGAAGTTCTAAAGGCGATACTCTTCTGACAAACTACTAACACCTCTAATCCAAATATTGCTTAGCAGATACTCAAGCACTTTAACTAACAGGAATCCACAGCAGTCTGGGTGTCCGGCACACTAACTCAACACTGGAAAACATTTTTGCACTTCTTCCAAATTCTAACTATATATTACCGCCAAAGCAGCGTCCTTTGCGCTTAGCGATCTTTCTACGTGCTGCCTGGAAGCGCTGAAAACAGAGCAGCCTCCGGCCCCTCGTTACGCTGTGGCACAACCCGGGGTGACACCTGTTAAC